ATGCCGATTCGATGCTGGTTTTCACTTCATGATTTTTGGCAATTTTTTTTTCCGTATTCACTTTTGGACACTCATACACACATATACTCATAACATGGGATTAAATAGAAGATAGAGTTTTGTTATATCTTCCTACGATTTTTTCCACATTTTACTGCTACTTCACTGAGTCCTCCGTTAAATATGCCATTGATGGCCGATAAAAAGTATATTTGTGACCGCTAAGTGCTTCGATCTTGTTTAACCTCATTTTAATTTTTCATGGAGCTTTTGTATCTGCTTTCTCTGCGCTTTTTTGTTGCTACTTAAAAGCTTTTTTTTGCTTACTTTGTCTTATTTCTTTCATTTATATACTTTTTTGTTGTATTTGCCTTCAATTATCCTCGCGCATATTTCCCATTATCCAATAAAAGTGTTTTCTCGATATGCTCTAGGGTTTTTTGTTGTTGTTGTAATTATCCCATGCTAAAAGTTTGCTTCCACTGCACATTTTACAAAGTTTAACGATTAATTAAATCCAACCACATTTAAATGAAAACGTCCTACCGCCTTCAGGGATTGCCTATCAGCACCACTTTAGCCCAATAAATAAAAAATATAAATGTATTTGTGTAACCAAAATATTTACGGTATTTGTCATTGAAAATGCAGAAATTAGTGGTCAGTTCTTCACACTTCTGATAAAAACCCAAATCAGCGACAGATTTTAATACGTTCAGAATTTGATGGTAAGCGATTTGTTTTTCATATCAAGCGCAATCGGAAGTTATACTATTGCTGTTATGAAAGTGACGCCCAAAAAACTGCTTTTTTGGGTTCGTTACAGTTTAATATAAAATTTTATATTTATGAACTATAGCTTGATTACGAAAACGAAAAACTTCGAATTTGGCTTTGAGGTGACAGATAATACTCTCCACTATTTCTTTTTTGTTAAAATGCTTATAAGATAAGCGTAGTATCTACTGCATTTTGAAAAGATCTCATGGTCAAATGTTTTGTCTAGCAGACCTGCTATATTTTAAGTCCAAGTTAATTGTTTTATTACTCGATATTTTTAAAACATTCTTCGTATAAGCTTTTCGCAGTTTTATGATTGATTGAAGAGGTGAAGAAGACTGGTGATAAATGAGTCTAAGAAAACATTGCAGTAAAAATCAACACACCACACTGACTTCAGTTATAACTTTAAAATAATATGATATGTAGTATTTCATATTGCTTTTAAAAAAGGTTTCTTTCAAGCCAATATTTAATCCGATTTTCCATACACTTGCTATAAGCCTCGGCTGGGTTGTCCTTAGTGCCTACAGCGAGTTTTGGTTTTATTTCGGTCTCTTCTCATTTTTGGAGCGCCATTCGCTAGATTGTGGGGCTGTTTCGACCTCATACACATATATTTTGTCACCGGTAATGATGCGTTTGATGAGTGTTGGGTTCTCAGCTACGTTTTCAAGCATTTGTTTTTCGATTTATCGTAATTAACAGAGATGAATGAATGACTCAAATATGGCAAGTTTTCGATGACTTCACGACCTCCACTGAATGCTTTGTGCCACTCAAATGCTTGCATTTATGATAAGGCAGACTCCCCGAAACACTTCTGCAACATTTTCAACAATATTATGCAGTTTTTCTGCGTTAGAGGGAAGAACGCAACCCACTTGACTGAAAGTTTGAATTGTGTTAATGATCTTGATACTGTCACAGGCAATCACGTGTAATTTCGATTTTGTCGCTTACGTTCCGATAATTTTGATGTTAAAAATGCATCATTTTCGGGAAGGCCAAATGTTGAGCATATCGATAAAATAATGAAAATCGTCGACTCCGAACATCATGTAAGCACTGCTTCGATTGCCCAGAAGCGACATATTGCACAAAAAACCAATTGGAATTATGAATGTATTAGGACCATAAGAGTTAATGCAAAAAACATATTCATGGATCGAACTACCAACTGCGGATTGCTGCTGAAGCGCAACAAAATTAAGCGGATGGTTTTACTATGTGTTGGTGGGATTAGCAGGGAGTTATTTACTGTGAGTTGCTCCCCTACGGCCAAACTCTGAATTCGCACCTGTACTGTCAACAATTGGACCATTTGAAGAAAGCAATCGCCGAAATTTGGCCAATTGGAGAGGAATTGTGTTCCATCAGGACAATACCAAGCCTAAACAGCGTTGTTGACTCAGCGGAAGTGCCGGAAGCTTGTTTGGGAGGAAGTTCTTATGCATTCTCCTTTTAGTCCAAACAACAAGTTCCTGTAACCTGTTCCGTTCTATCTCTGGCGAATCATTTTTCCGGTGTAAAATTCGCCTCAAGAGAAGCTAGTGGAAATTGACTGTTCCAGGTTTCTATGATGTAATGAGATTATGGAAACACATTATCGAACGAAATGATGTATATTTGACTTAAATCGGCACATTCTACCTATGTTAAATAAAACTTCCAACTTAATGCAAAAATATTGGCTTTCTATTTAGTAGACTTTATATCTCAGAATAAATCAACTTGTTTTGAGTTTACAGCGGTACAATTACCATACTTATGTTTCACAACCAAGGTCTAACGAGTGCTGTTGAATACCTTTGTTAAATCTGTAACTATATTGTTCATTCCTTTGTCACTGACTTGCAAATAACTGGCTTAATGACAAATTGACAAATGTATCGAATAAATTTTCCTACTGGGTATGTTCTCACATTGATATGTAGAGTCTACAGTTAGTCAAATATGTATCTGCTACCATAATTTTTAAATAAATAGTTTATAAAGAGCAAATTGGTTTCGTTATTTAAAAGTTTTTGCGCAAGTTTGCGTATGTGTACATTCTGTGTGTGTGTTTGTGCTCCTCACTCCAGTTATAAAAATAAATTGCCAAAAAAAAATTAAAAACAGATTTAACTTCAACTGACGTATTTATTGACAATTTTCATCATGTTTACTTGGTAGAACGCATTTTGATCACTCACTTGCTGGAAATTCGTATTTCGATAAAGTGCAAAATTGTCTGAAAATTCAAGTATTTCGGGAAAAACTGTAGCCAACTAATTTTTTGTTTTGCACACTGAATTTATTTGATTTCGAATTTTTGCCTTTTGACTGAAAATTGTGATGAAGCGGCTAAAAATTTGTGATTATTTTGATAAAATCTTTGAAATACATGTTTTAGGAGTTGGAAAAAAACATTTTTTTTTATATTTTGTTTTGCCGAATATTCTAGTGGTAGAATGTTGCAATACAAGCAATGAAGAGTCACCGAACATTTTATGCTCTCGCAAGGTAAAGGGATATACGAGATTTTCATAAAAAATATGCCAAGTGCACTGGTGTTCACATATTTGGTGGCTGCGTTTTTGAAAAGTTATAGTTCGACATCGACAATTTTCGGACGTAACATAAAATGTCCTTAAGGTATTTTATGCAAAATTTCACTCTAATAATTTGATTGCTGTTTGATTTCTATACTTTGAAGTGGAACAATCAGATTTAATTTAAAAGTTTGTTGTATGAGAAATAGGCGTGTAAAGTAGTAATAATTGGAAAACCTCACACACCAAATATGGTTGAAATTGGTCAAGCAGTTTCTGAGATATAGCATTTTACCTAAACATGATGCTTGTGGCTTGAACGGACAGTGGACAGACGGATAGTCTCCAGGATGTCAACATATCTCATCACCCTGATCATATAGGTATATATATTTAACTCTATATCTGTATCGTTTAGCTTTAGGTGATACAAAAAACCAAAACAAAACACTGTGCAACATGTTGCGCGAGCATAAAAATGTGTCAATACGTTTTTCCTAAAGACCACCGGTTTTGTGTCCTTTTTTTTTACTTTTTACCTCGAGCATGTGTTTTCCGCATTTCGGAATGATAAGAAGTTTTAGTATGTTATAATAACCATGTTTTCAACATATTTACTAACTTTTAGCTTTTTGTAAATTTATGTATCTGTCTGTTTTGACCTGATTCTTATGTAGGTATATGCGACTTGTATGTATATATACAATACACACTCTACTTACCTCAATAATTTTTTTTAATATCCAATAAAAACTCCAACAATGTTTTTGTTCTTTGAATTATTTTCTAATTTATGTAAATAATTATCGTCTTTATTTCTATTTAATATATTTATTTTGTATATTCATTAATGTAATTATGTAAGTATGTCTATTTCAAATGTTTTTCATTATTTTAGTTTCTTCATTTGTAATTACGACTTTGTTTTTTGCTTTCTGCTTTTTATTATCTGTTCATATTTTTGCTCACATATTCTTTTTGGCGCATCGCTGCTCAACTTGGCTCACAGAGAATTTTTATGTACATTTAATAAGACTATGTATTTGTTTGTTGTATTTTAAATCACTTAACGTTGACGTAACAGCTTTGTACGTACTAGGCATGCATACATATATTTATGCATGTACGGGTACGTGTGCTAAAAATTTTACTTAATTAATTTTTTAATTTTAAAATTATTTTTTTTACTCGCTAGTAATTTGATTGTTTTAAATATTAATAAATATTTTATATATGTAAATGGCATTTTTTAGGTTTAAGAATTATTGTAAATAATGAAATAAGTACGTAATTATGTACCATATATATGTATATACAAATGTATTTTACAGTATATAACGGCTTTTTAATTAATAGTTATATACATAAGGGTGCGCAAAAATGCTAGCCTATCGACAAATTCATGGATTGAAATGAAATATGCAGAGAAAAAATTTCCCTACAAAAAAAATTAGGTTTATTTTAAAAAACTGTCGTGAAGCTTACAAAATTGCCTATATAAATAACACGTACAAAATGTGGTTTCTTTAAAAACACCACAACATTTGAACCGCTTATATAACATTAAAGTTTTTTCTTCTAGCTTTTCAAACTTTGAAAAATTCAAATTTTTAAATTGAAAAAAAAAAATCCACTCAGATAGATATTTTAGGATATTTTATGCGTTATATGAATCCGCAATGTAAAATTTTAAATGTTTCAAAAGTTATGGTATTTTTAAAGAAAACATATTTTCAAGGGTTACCGTATTTATACGGGAAATTAATGCTCACCACACCTTTAAAAAGTAATCAATTAATTTTCTTAAATTTTATATTTTTATAATATTTTTTTCTCTGCTTAGTTGTTCATTTTAGCGCATGAATTCGAGGTTAGTTTTTGACTCACACTAATATACATACATACATATTATTTTTTGAATTTATTTATAATTTTTTCGAAATAATTTTAAATATTGTTTTTTTTCTGTCTTTTTTCAATATTTCTTTTTATGTTTTATTTTATAATTTTTTTTTTATACATTACTAAAAATGTTTTCTTTTTTTGATATTTTGTTTTTCAAATTTTATTTTTCGCTTTTTGAATTAGTATGTATTTCTCTACGTATTAACTAACTTTTTTCTATTTTTAAAACTACATTTAATATTTATAATTTGTTGTTTTTGAATTCCCACTTATTTAAACTTTATATTTATACATCTTTTATGTATGTCTAGTACATATATATGTATGTAGTGGTACCAGTAATCCTTTTGTATTTGTGAAAATATTGCTTTTTATTTTAATTTGGGTGCCCCATAATATTTATAAATTATTTCCTGACACAATAGTATGCCTTATTGGCGCAAATACATACATATACATATATTTGAAGTATATATTAAATATCTACACACAAAATTATTACAATATATTTGAACGTTTCTCTCATGTTCACAGAATTTTTATGTCAGCATCTTTATTTTAAAATTGTGCTTTTTTATTTTATGTATTTGTAGTAGATTTCACTTAATGTTTTTTTTTGTTTAATTAACTTTTTTTTATGTTAATTTTTATATGTTATAATTATTATTGTATCTGATTTAATTTTTTTTGTATCATACTTTTACTTTTACTTATTTTTATTTTTAATTTTTGTCCAATATTTATTTTGTATTTATTTTATTTTTTTTTTTTCAATTTAAATAATGGTAATGGATGATCTGTCCATTACAGTTTGATTTAAAACATATTAACAGTAAAATTTTGTTATATGCTTTTTGGCGGGGCTAAGTACTATCTCTGTATATGTTTCAAATTAAATGCATTTGTGTTTTCTTTTTGGCCGCTGTATATTTGGCGTTGATTGAAAATTTTCCTAAATTCAGAGCAGCTAATTGGGTTTGTTTGTTTCTTTTTTTGACATATAATTAATACGATATTTTCTTTTAATTTGGGTACTATTTTGAATATTTTTCATATAAAATAAATTATTTTTCTTTAAAATAAGAAAATTACTGGAGGCTGTTTCAACCTTTATATATTGTATTTAATAATCAAAAACAAATATAATATTTGAAGTGTGTGTTAATGTACAGGCTTTCGTCGTTCTTAATATTCTCTAAACATGATTTTAGTATATTTTTATTTGATGCTCTTTTCCAGCCAGCTTTAGAAGGAATGGTATTGTTCCGAAAATAGTTGTTCTTTTATAAGAAAATGACAAGATTAATAAATCTCGGATTCCTGCACTAAAATGTTGAAATTTTTTACGTAAGACCTGTATTAACTTCGAACTGGTTTTGAAAATTGACGTTTATATATTTGTTTCAATCGTTTTATTTTTCAGTTTCGGTGGTTCGTGAAGTATTCCCAAAGACAAAATGCTACATAATAATTATTTGTTTTATTAAATCACGTTTTTTTTTTGAATTTGTGTTGTACGACTTGACTGTGTGTGTGCCTTTGTATGTAAGTCAACACACGAACCATCACTTGACAATTCTGTTAAATGCGTCACCCCAAAGTGGAATACTTTAATCCCTAAATATATTTTTTAAGATTTTTTTCATATCACTCAATAAATGTACATTAAATAATAATCATCAGTGGCAAATCTCGCATGGGAAGATCTTAATTATCTATTTTTTCTTTGCTTAGATCAAAAGACTGTTAGGTCATTGATGGTGAGTGTATAGGACATGCAGAAAAATGTGATAGTGATCGGATCATTTGCTTTCGAGCAAATTCGAAAAATACTGTTTAGAAAAAAACCTTCTTTAATATAGAATATTGATAAATGCGAGAATAAATAAAAATAATTTTTTAAAAATTTTACACTAGTCTTTTTCGGATTTCGTAGTGTGTGACTTGACTTCGTCACTGTTTCTTTGCATATTGTATGTAAGTTAACACACGAACCACCGTTTGAAAGTATTGTTTCTACACCAACTGAAACGACCATAAACAAGAACTATGTGAAAGACCGAACCCAAACTCATAAAAGAAAAACTGTGGTCACTTGTGACATTGTCAGGAATGCTTTATGGATCTTACTTCTTTATAAGTTCTGAATTATATTATATACAAGCAAGAAAAAGATCTAGTTTTGCTATACCCAGCAAAATTTCTCGACAAATAACGAAATATCTAATAGCAGCAATACTAATTGATACTTAAATGTCAATCAAAGAAATTTGGTTAAAGTTGACAGCATAGTTTCCAGGACCTATGTACTTATATTGTAGGCTTTTACGTTCTCTTACGCATATCTACGAAGTCTTCATAATTCTCCAAATATCTTATGCATTGTTGAATAGTTTTTCCAGGGTCTTTTAATATTTGAAAGAGGTCATTTTTTTACCGCTTTCATGAAACAAAAGGAAATAAATACTAACAAATAAATTGATATTCTTTTTCTGTCTCTAGTTTTTTTCGGTTTTGTAACTGTGCTTCTAGGCTTTTTAAGTTTCTTTTTTAAGTTATTGTTCCATTTTTTTTGTCACCTTATTTATTTTTTTTTGGAGTACTTTTGCGTGTTTGCTTTTGTTATTAAATATTCCGAATGCCGTTTAACTCATTTGTTTGGCATTTTCTCTGAAAATGTTGCTTATTTTGTATTATTTAATTTTTATTTGTTTTGTGTTGTATTTTTATAATTATGATTAGTTATTTATTATTATATTTTGTTTTGTATTTTTGTAATCACTGTGTAATTCCGTTACTTTATTGCCCAAAAAATGTGTGTGTTTTGTTGTCTTGCTTTCTTTTTGTTGCTATTGTAGTGTTTTTCAATGCAGGTTTTGCATGTTTTAGTTGTATATTGTACAATATTTATATGTACATATGTACTGTTCCATATATATGTTTTCTTTTCGCTTGTGTTGGCTCTCTATTTGCTTAATTACTTTCGTAACTTCTTTGCAGCAAGTAAAATAGAAAACAAATAATAAATGCAAACAAGTTTAATTAAATTAACAAATACAAATGTAACTGTGTATGTATATGTTTAGGTGTGTCAGTGTGCAAATATGCTTGTTGCTGTCTATTTTTGTTACTTTACGTGTCCATTTTGTACAAATATTGACACATGCTCACCTAAATGCGTGTCGGTGTGTTCGTGTGTTGCATGCGCTCGTATTTTTTCCACAACATTTTCAATTATTTCTGGCCACAATTGAATATATTTACTGACATTTTGATTTGTTTGCAAAATTTATGCTTAGAAAATTGACCGGTTATGGTAGAAATGCTTTGTCAATTGCCGTTTTTAATAAATGAATTATGCATGTGGTCAACGAGCTAATTGCCAGCAAGATATACAGACATATATATATATATATTTACATATATTACATAGGTAGGTATATATATTTGTATGTATTTATAGCAGCAATAAGCGAGTGAAAGCTCTATTTTTGTGCAACTGTTTTGTAATGCTTTATATTCGGTGTAAAGTCACGTTATCTCTCATTAAATAGAAATAATGCTCTCCCTTGACATTCTCTGAGTGTTAGAGTGTATTGTTTTAATTAAGTTCAGTATCAAAATAGCCACATAATAACGGCTAAATTAAAAAATTATGAATAACATTCGCACAAATTACAAACGTTTCACACTCTGCTGACTACTTTAATTACTAGCAGATCCTTGTGCTGTGCGAAATTAATTTTTAATAATACATGCGCTCAACACACACGCACTTATGTATATGTATATGTATATGATTTACTTGCGGTTTTGTCAACTTAAAATTGTCTAGCGTTAAATTAAATTTGTTATGTTGCTTTATTTTTGTTTTTCTACATTATCTTGGTCACCCATGACTGGACGCACTCTCCTTCTCTCTCACTAACTCATATAAATTTTTATACCCTGAACAGGGTATACTTAATATACTTTTGCCACGAAATGTGTAACATCCAGAAAAAAGCGTCAGAGTCCCTATAAAATATATGTATATGTGTATAAATAATCTGTCAGGTTTTGAGATATCCATATGAAATTTTTCACACAGCCTTCTCTACTCAAGAAGCTGCTCATTTGTCGTAACAGCCGATATTGAACCACTATATCATATAGCTGCCATATAAACTTAACGATCAAAAACAAGTCCTTGTATTTAAAACTTTTTTAAATGACGAGATATTTGGCTCGAATTGTTGTTTATAGCAACGCTACAATCGCTGAAGAAATTTTTCAGATCGGACCACTATAGCTGCCATGCAAACTGCACGATCAAAATCCAGGTCTTGTGTGGAAAACCTCTTTATTTGACGCGATATCTTCACGACAACGCAACAATTGTTCAAATCGAAGCACTAAGACAGATATTGGCACCATAAACTCAACGACCAAAATCAAAGTTCTTGTATGGACAACTTTTTTTATTTGTGAATGGTATTACAGCTTCGGTGCAACTGAAGTCGGCGTTTTTTATTATTTACCCTAACTTGAATAATGTACACATACACTCACAAATATTGCTTAAACCTCTCACCTATCACTATCAACATTACAACAACTTAATCGCTTAATAATCAGCACCAGTTTTACTCCTTCTTCCGTTATCCTTTATTATGCTCCATTCCAACGACTTGTTTTGTCTTAATTTGCTGGCGGGTCACTTTCGGGTCAGCGTAATCACTTCATTTTCCACGTAAATTGTTAATTTTACTGCCAACAAGAAGCGAGTGTAAGCAATAATTACATTGCATATATTATTACACACACCCAACCCCATATATACTCATTCCACTTGTCTGCCTATGCTTGTATGTGTATAAGTGCGTGCATGTATGTTTATCTTATCGCAGCGAACGCAATTTAGCTGCAAAAATAATTACTGCCATAGAAAAGTTTATTACAGTATTTGACTGACGTTGTTGACCCGAAACCGTAGCTTTGCTGGGTACTTGTGGTTATGTGCGCTGTTTAACGCCTTAAATTATGCAAGTTCGCAAGGAGCAGTTAATAGTGACAAAATAAAATTGTATGCTTGTGTGCGTGTGAGGTCAAACAAGTCAATGTGCTGAAGTCTATATACATATTTGTGTTTGTGTTGTTGGCTGGCGTTCTAGTAGGTTCAGTAGGGTTGCCAGGCACGTAATTAGGTATGTTTTTAACGTAGAAATTCATAACTCCCTACTGCCAAATGAATGAAAATTAAGTTCTGTGATTGTTTTTTGTAAATTCTAATAAATAGTCTCTTGAGTGCTTTCAGATAGGTACTTCTTTCGAAAAAAATAGTTAGGCTTGTTAATACCACATTTAAGATTTTGAAATCACCTATTCTAAGGTTTAAGTAATTTTCTTCATTGGCTTTTCATCAGCCAAAGAGCCTTCGATACATCTCATTTTATTGTACTACAACTATGTTCTATGTTGCTTAGCGAATAAAAGTTCTGGGCCTGTTGAAACTACGTCGATGATGTGAAAATACCCTTTACATCCTTGATGGCTCTAGTCTAATCTGCTAAATCATTATTTTTGTGAGCGACCGATAATTTTGTGATATTTATAATCGAATTAAGTTAAAGGCTCAAAAACCTTTTTTATTTTACTAGTTCGGCCAAGAATCTCAATGGTTTAATTTCGAAATATACTTACAACTGCCCATTTTAGTTAGAAAAATTAACTTATCCAACTAGATAAACCTGAAGTATGAGTTTATTGATTTTGTTCTTGATGATAATTTTGCGAATCGTTCTTATTTTTTATAACTCGGAGGTAAATAAAGTTTCATATTAAATATATCGTTATTTGAAAAAAGTAAGAAAAATATAAATGTCTTTTGTGAGTACCAAAATATAAAAATTATTTAGCATACATTAAGAGCCTGCCATATATGAAAATGCTACCCCATTTGGGTACACTTGCACCTAAAGCCACACATGTACATATGTGTGTGGTATCTTAGAATTGTTAAACTAACTTCAAAAATAAAATATGTTACTGTATGCATAATACCAGAGTGCGTATTTCATTTAGTTATTCCACTGTCTTCCTATTTTTTTCTTTTTGAAGCAATAGAAGATGTTCCATATTTGTACAGCTGCTGCGTAAGCCCTCAAACCCTCATTAAATTTGACAACAGCAATTTCATCCAACTCACACCACCCGTGCACATCAACTGGTGGATTGGTGTATTGTGTTTCGTGAGGCCATCAAGTTTAGTGCGGCTTAGTGCCTTTTGTGTGGCAACTTGAAAGCTCAGCGAAAACTCTTGCGACAAGACAGCGGCAGCAGTGCTGCACAGGGGGTAGCAATGAAATGGCAACGAAAAGTCAGAAAATAAATACATAAACTGACGGACGGGCGGACGGATGGATTGACCTGGCATGCGCTCACTGTTCAGCGCAGAGTTAGCAAACTGCAATTGAAACTGCTTAATTAAGATTTGTATTTGTCGGCGCGAGCAGCCACTAATGGTCATTGCTGCCTCGCTTGCTTCTTGCTTGTTGTTGCTATCTTGTTGCTCAGCATAGGCGCCTGAAAGCCGACTACGCTTTCGTCTTAACTTACTGCGAAAGCTTTTTTGTTGTTTTTCTCTTGTGTTGTTGCTTTAATTCTTTGTAATGAGTGCGATTTTCAGCAGCATGGCTGTGTTGTAGAAAGTATTATTGTCGGTCTTCAGCGCAAATACATACACACATGCCTCAAGTTTTTCTTTTATTTTGTCTATTTGTTTAGTTGTATCTGTGTGGTTTACGAAAATTAGGGATACAATGCTCCAACGCCCTCGTATTTCCTTTCAACTGCTGCTCCGGTCATTCGCTAGTGGGTTTGCTAACCAACATCTATATTATCGTTGTTGTTGTTGTCATTAAAATGTTTGTATAGCTTTACGGGGTAAATTTTTATTGCGAAGCCACAAGCAAGTGTAATCGTAGCAAATAAAGTTAAAGGCAGGAAATTCCCTATTTAGCCGCAGCCATAGACGCCGGCCGCTGGCCGCCGCGTCTAGTTAAGAATTGATTAGTTCGCCTACAAACCGCTGCGTCTAGGTAGTGGTTGCATAGCGCGCCCTTCTCTCCACGCTGCCACTACTTCTGTGGTCTTATCATTGTCGAGTGGTTGCTGGTTAAAGTTTTTATCAGTCGCACTAATGTAATTGTAATTGCTACTCGCCTTTCTTCCAACATACTTAAGCATTCGCTCGGCGCTTGGTCTTGTTTGAAAGAGCCTTTGTATTTGTGTGTGAATAATTCTTATGCACGCAGTATTCTTCTTGGTTTGTGTATGTATTCGTGTGGGTACTTTTCTGTGTGCCTGTGTGTACTCTGTGTGTGTGCTTGGTATTTCACTACTTTTTTTTTTTACTTTTGTGTGTTTCTCCTCTTGATAGGATTTTTTGCGCCTTAATTCTCTTGTCCAGCAATGCTATTAAACATATATTTGCTTTTTGCTTCTAAGCTCACCCACCCTTCTATACCGGACTGTGTGTGTGTATGTTTTTTACAACTTACTTGGTTTTTATTCTTAGACACTAAGTGGTAAAATGGTTTGATAATTGTTAAACGAGCAATAATGTGCTAGAAAGGCATTTGAAATTGCATTAAATGCAATTTAATTTATCGCCTTTGCCTTTTGCTTTTCTTGCTTTTGTTGTTTGTGAGCTCAATAAAATACCTACGCTATTACGCGTCTATTGACTGCCGAAGGAGTTAAGTACTATCTGATGGGCGATACTAGCTTTAATTATAGAGTAAGTGAGAGAATATGTAGAGATAAATATAAAATGTATGCTGAGAATTGGGAGTATAAAGTGTAATTAAGAGAGCATTTCAGAATGTTGCAAATTTACGCATGGAACTTTTATGCATACGAGTATCAAATCATAAGTCTCTCAACTGTATCTCTCCTTACTATAGAATAATTGTTAAACTTGGTTTGAGTTTAAACAAAGTGCTCGACAAAAAGTCTAAGTCATTTCCAGCCACAAAACAAATATTTAAAAATCAATAAACTCATAATACGGGACAGGTTAGGTTAGGTTAGGTTAGGTGGTCGATCCTAAGAATAATCACACTTGGACAGCTTAAAACGTCGGTCAGTTGTGAGACATAAAAACTCCTATAAGATAGATATCACAAGACCGCTACATGTCCACAAAGCGCTTTTTGCTTACAACAAACTTGTTGAGACGGCCAATAGACCTGACAACGACCTACAAATCTCGTGAGATCGTGTTGCTTTAGTGATGTTTGAGTTCGTTCCATAGCCAGGTCTACTCAATCAATATGATGTATTGGGAGAGATAGCGGGAGCACCCAACAAACTGATGGGAAAGTTCGATACAAAACGGTTTAAGAAACCAATCGTTTTTCCCTTGAAACAAATTAAGAAAGATTAAGGTCACTGCGGGCTAAGTTGTTATCTACACAAATTAGATGAATGCCCCACTGAGTTGTGTTGCTTCTGTGGCCAAAGAGCAGAGCTCCAGAGCACATACTTACTCCTTTATGGCGCCGCAATCGCAAGAAGAGGAAGTCAGGCACAACCCAGATGCTTTACTAAGCCTATTTGAATTGACTGGGTTATGAGGGTTATACTCGTATTTATGACTTATGTGCAGTTGTATCCGAGGATGCGATTTTTGGGCCTTCCTTTTTAATCAACCAAAGCTCGAGCATTACCGTATTACGAGTGGAAAAGCTGGCACTTTCTGCTACTTATGTCTCATAAGTATTATTTGGGCTATCAACAGAAATAGTAGTTCTATAAACCCTTGATTAAGTACTTAGTGAATTAAAGGTTAGAATGGGTCTGGTGGGAAACTGTGATCTTAAGTGGCTTTCTGGATAATGTTTTCAGAAAACAAGAAACAGTGGCACATTAGATAAAACTATTATACGACATTTTAAAGCGAATCGAAATTCAGATCATTCAGATTTGGGTTTGTTTCTACTGCAAGACTACTATTCGTTGTGATGCCAAAAAGAGGTGGCATTGTCAGATTTTCAGAGATCAGTTATCGCTGTACCGCCAGATATGGTATATTCGGAAAATTAATAGAACACGCAGAAATTAGCTCACTTTGTTGTGGCTTAATACGTGTGGAACCGTGATAGAAGTTTTATTCAAAAACCGTCAAAATAAATTGAAAAGAGTTATTTAATCTCAATCAAAAGAAATATTTGTATATTTCCCAAAAACCTTAACATACATATGTGGGATACGCGTATGAATTCTAATTATAGACATAGATATTAACATCTAATTTTTACAGGATCACCTTATTTCGAGGCATAGAAAGCAGAGACCATAAAATAATACTAACACCAAAATCCTTAAACTGATAATAAACGTTTTATGAACTTTTAGCTTAAATGTAAAATAATTGCCATTACTTACATACAACACACTTAGAAAATTGCTTGCTACCAGCGCAATTCCATAATAATTCCACCATAAAGCTCCAAATGATTTAAACTGCTAGGGAATCGCTTAAGGCTAAGCTCGCCAAAATTACCCATAAATGGCAAATCCGGCACTACAATAATACACCGGGAATCACATAAAGTCATAAGAATAGCCCATAAATTCTGAAGCGGAACACACAGACACCAACAAACACACCTAAAGCACTTATTGATGTGCAAAGAAACTGATGTGGCCCATGGCAGCTAGATTCAAATAGAGAAAGTGACTGATAAAACAAGTAAAAGTGCAGCACCAACAAAAACAACTAGGTCGGTCAGCAAAGGGAAAAGAGAAAACAAGAAAGCGAAAATATGAGACTTTATGACAAATTGTTGCTGTACGTGAAACGCATACAAAACTATAAATCAGTTGACCAAAGCAGCAGCTCACTTCAGAGACAATTTTATGTGCGAAACGTTTGTTGACTCTTTCATATGCTGGTCCACCGATTTGTAGGTGTTTAAGGAGCGCTGAGAGGGCGGCTGACCAAAGTGGTGCAGTGTACGGAGGGTTCAGCTTATTTCCCCCCTGACAATGCTGACTCTTTCCAGCTGTTGTTGTGGTGGTTTTTTCACGCGTTCGCTTTCATCATTTGTAATTTTGTTTATATGCAGTAAACTGTTTTGTCGCATCCAAATGTATGGTTTGTGGTTGGTCGTTTGGTGGAATAGCCGTGGTTTTGATTTATTTGATTAGTCTTTTTGATAGTCGATTCATGGCAGATTTGTGTTTTTTTATTACTTTTGGTTGAATTCTTCGTTCTTCGAAGCAAATTCATTTTATAAGTTATAGTGAAGCTTCATTAATCAGTGATTGTTTGAAGGCACAGATTGTTGGATTGCTTTTGGAAGAAATATTTTGGTGACTCAAATTCACTAGATGTTCATAGTCTGTAGTGGTGTATGACTAACTGTAGCTGAGGTCAAGTTGTATTCGATAGAGAGTGTCGATAGAGACTGTCCTGTAACTCATGAAAATCACTGTTTCTTAAAGCAGTTCGACTGAGCCAGAATATACTAGCATATCTACAATAGGGTTTATGTTCATTATAACCATGACGTTTTTCCTTTCATTTCTTATAACCGATGGTTTAAGGTGTTTAATATTCTGTGTACGAAGAGACGGAGAAGAGAACTTTTAAAAGATTCGCGTGCTCACTACTAAAAATTAGGTGTAGACTCGCAAATTTTCGGAGAAAGCAGAATACTTGTATTGTTCCGCATATGGTTTCTAAAATACAATTTAGATCGATCAAGAAGCAGCTAGTTGCTGTTGAAGCTTCTCTCTGAGTGGGTTATATATTGACTTCTTCTCAAAATAGCTTGCTTTCTTTGGCAACTTATTCACGTTTCTAATTGTTTTCTTGATATTGTAATAAAATTTAGCGAGAGGTTCTGAACATAAATTTATTTTTTTAAGAAACACTATCAGATTTGTATACATTTTATCATGTGTGGAAGTTTTTTGTATTTTGAGTGAATTTTGCACTCGGTTGTAATAATGAACTTAACCTTAATTCTCTGAAGCCGTCAAAATAGCGGTATTTAACGAAACTGTACCGGTTTTTGTTTTAGCGTGTTGTTGAGAGATCTGCCTCTGCCGATCTTCTGACATGTCTTATTATTATTGTTACAATATTACTTTTCTAGATTAAACTTTTTTTTTTTGTGAAAATAATAAAAGAATTTTTCATAAAAATTACTTACAATTAAATTTAAAAATTTTGAAATCAATTAGTTTTACATATTTTTATTTACATTATGTTTATATTCTGTGTTGATGTTTTTGGAAATAACTTGTTGGCAATTGAAAGTTTACTTTGCGCCCATTTTTTATTTCTTACTTTCATGGTTCGATTTATAATTAGTTTTCTATCACTACAAACTTTATTCATTGTGTTATCTGTTATTGAATTGTACGTCCTTTACTTTCAAACTTTTATATCCTAAATTGTTTCCTATACTAACTTCTATACAACATGCTATCACTAACACTTTGTCTAAATTGTATACTTACATAATAACTGCCTTTAAGTAACGCCAATAGATTTAAACATTTACCAATTGTTGCTATTTATTACGTTTCAACTTCAGTTGTCAGCTGTCAACTGATAGCTGTCACTGCTCTATTGGCCACATGTTATTTGCTTGTTTGTTGTTGACCTTTCCTCTCATTCACATATATCCGCTCTCTTTCTTTCTCTTGCTCTTTGCTCGCACTTGCACCTGTACTGAAATTTATTGGAACGGCGCATACTGTCGCTGGAACATCGCTTGTCACCACAGATCGAATTTACGTGAAGATGATGACGCTGTTACTGTTTTGGCACTCACTTTTCTTCGACTGTCATTGAATAACGGCGCGCTATTGCCACCACATGACTGCGCCATGTTTGCTTGCTTTTCGCCATTAGCGCTTATCACTGTATTCCTCTCAACATCTATATTCGCATCATTCGTACGCTGGCTCGCAGCGTCATGCAAAGCTGTGTCGGCATTGCATTCATCATTGCGCTTGCACGCCGATGTGACTGTCAACAACTCCATTGGCAGCATGTCACAGTGTAAGGCATCATTCGCGCTAACACAAACACCCAGCTGACCGCACTCTGATGCCATTTCCACATAGAAAGCATCGTCAGCGTCTAATATGCCCGCTGTGGAGGACGACCGTGTGCTACTCAGACTGCTGCTGCTGTTGCGCGAGACCTGACCACTGCCACCGCTGGCGTTGCTGCCCGTACTGCCGTGTCGGCGCGCGACCGCAGTAGGCTTTTCGAATGGCCGAACATCATAATAGCTGCGCGTGATGCGCGTTGCCGCGTCCACTTCCACGGCGGATGTCTTTTGCAACTCGCGTACATGTAAGTTGTGCAATGGTGAGCTGTAGTTAGCGCTTGTGCGTTCACCATGATGCCAGCGTGGCGGTTGCTGTGCGCGTTGCTGTTGGCCCTCACCATTGTTGTGATAATGCAAGAAGCTATGCGCGTCATCATCGGCGCCGCCATTGAATTGCCGCTGCAAATGTGGTCGCTGTTGATGTGATAGCAGATGACGGCGCCATGGCAACACATCACAGCGATAGACATGCATGAGTCCGACTAAGAGCACAGCGAGCAGTGAAAACGAGAGTAACAATACAATGCCTGGATGCGTTGTGCCGCCACCGACTTTCCGCACATCCAACCATTGTTGTCTTTGTGAATGCAGAGCGGCGCGCTCTTGTACTTGCAGTGGCTCGTGGTCGCGCCGCTGGCTACTGATCGAGTGCTGTGCTGTGGGCGCATCCATGTTTTGCAGCGTAGCAACCTCATCCATGGCGGCGAGCACGTGCGCGTGGTTATCACTAATAATGGGCGTGTTAACTGTGCTGTGCTTATGTTGCGCTATGTTATGCGCAAGTTCCGCTAGCTCACTGCCGCTTTCCAACCAGTCCTGTGTAATGCCATTCACTTCTGCTTCGCTATTCGCTTTTAAAAGTTTGCCCGCGAGCGCGTGTGGTATACCTGCGGCGGCCGCATTGCCGCGGTCGCGCAAGACTGCTTCATTTTCGCGCGGCGTATTGAGCATGTAGTGCGCCTGCTGCTGTGGCGTTTGTGTATGCTTGGTGTGTTGCGTCTGTATGGTCATTTTCTTCATAATCAAAGTGGGTTTGCGTCTGCCACTAACGCCGCCGCCGCCAATATCGTCGTGTTTCCTTGGCAACACTTTACGCTCCAGCTCATGCCGCCTGCCATTACTGTTCGCTCCACTAGCTTTTACTTTATGCTGCTCGTTGTTTATGTTATCTGTTGTGGTTGCAGTGGTCTCTAACCACTTTGCTGTTGTTGATTTGTTTATATCCACTGCTTTTCCTGCCAACATTTGCTTATCTGCAGAACTATCGCTAAGATGTGTTTGCTGTTGCTGGTTGCCCATTTGCTCTGCGCCGCCAACTCTATGCTCTGGCGTCATATTTGTCTGCATGTTTATTGCTTCCGCTTGTGAGCGCTCTATATGAGTGAAGTTATTTGACTGCTGATGTGCCTTTACCGCACTCACCTGCTGCTGCGCCACTGTTTGCCCCTCGCTGGGGTGACTGTACTCTTGATGTTCGGCTTCCGTTGGTTGGCTTTTGGCCAAAGCTTGCTCGTTTGTTATCTTCAAAGTGCTTGCTTTGCTGAGTTTTAGTGCTGGTGTTGTTGTTGTTGATTTTACCGTCATAGTCGTTTGCTTAAGCAGCTCAGCCGCCTCCACCAGCATATTTTGGCCGCGGTGCATGAGCAGCGGTGTTCCAATTAAATGTCGATCTCGTATGTGCAGCTGTAGCGGCTCGTGTTTGTGTGTTGGCGGATGTGTGCTGATTGTTGTTGGTTGCATTGTGGTGTCTATTTTTACGTTGTGCTCTGTAGCGCTTCTATTTGCCTCCTTCTGCTCCTCCGCCAAGTGCCGTCGCTGACCGGAAAAGTCGTTTGGATACGGATTTGCCCGTTTAAAATTATGTTGCTGCCAAAATTGTGTTGTCTTTGGCTTTGCCAATTCGTTTACTGACATTGTTGTTGTTGCCACTATCTTGCTTTGCTCCTCGTCCGCCTCTTCCGCCACCTCTTGTTTGTTTGCCTGCACTTTATGCTCATCATTGTCGCTGTCATTTCGAGTTAAATTACTATCTACTTTCTGTTTGGCCAGTGACATTGTCTGTATCGTTGCCTGTGACAGTTGTGTTGTTGGCATAACTTTTGTTGTTGTTGTTATTTCTACTGATACTGCTGCCTTTTGTGTTGTCAATTCGCTTTTTGCCGCGTCATTCTGACCTATTTGCAGCGCGCCAACCCTCATTTGCCCAAATGTTGCTTTGGCTGTGTTTATCAACTTTGTTGCTGCCACAAGTTTTGTTGCATGCGTTGCTCGTGTGCTTGGCACTGCTTGTGAGCGTTTCATTTGCAAGTATCGTGCTGCTACAACTTTAGTGCTTGTAGTCGCTTGTAGAGTGCTTGTTGTTGTTGTTGACGTGGATTTTGTTGTTTTTATGTAAGTGTTGTTGTTGTCAGTTGTTAGCGTTGCTGAAATTCGCTCCGACAGCTGTTGTGCCGTTCTTGCTGTGCTGGCATTTTTTGCCATTTCCAATGAAGTTGCAACGTCAGCGCTATTTGTTGTAGTTGCAGCTGAATTATCTACTCGCTGCTGTTTTTCGTTAACGGAAATCTCTTTGGTATTATTTAATGATGACGTCGCTGTCAGTTTAGCATTTAACGCGCTTGTTGTTGTTGTAGCTGTTTGTGCATCACTCGCTTCAACGTCACTATTTGGGTCTTGCAACGTTGCAACAAACATAGTTTTTGGCGCGTCTCTGTGTGCTTCAACTGTTTTGAGCGTTGTTGTTGCTGTTGGGAACGTTTTTAGTACAGTTGATGTTGTGCTGCTGTTTACTACCATCGCAGGCACTGTTGTTGCAGTAATTTGTTGACGCAATAAATTGGCAATGTTTGCCGCACCACTTCCTGCTGCAACAGTTACAAGTTGCTGCAAAGTTTTTGCCACTGCCGATGTTGTAGTTGCCTCACTTGTTCTTTGGTTTTGCGTTTCTGCCATTGTTGTTGTAGCTGTGGTAATGCCGCTTTCGTCCCTTGCGGTCCGTACTGTTACATTTACGTTCTCATTTGCTCCTGTATTTTTTGTTGTTGTTGCTATTGGTTTCACTGTTGTTGTTAATGGGAATCTGGTTGTTACTGCAGATTTTGTTGTTATTGGGAATTTTGTTGTAGTTGGTGTTGTTTTAGCGGTTGTTTTAGAGACTTGTGTTTTATATTCAAACAGTACTTCCGTTGCAAGCGTTGTTGCTGTAGTATCTGATGTTGTTGTTTTTATATCTTTTGTTGTTGCCTCTGAACTTTCTGCCATTTCAGGCGTAAAATTCTTTTGATTAAACTTGAAAACTTTTATCTCAGCTTTAAAATTCTTCACCTCTTTCTTAGACTTCTTCTGTCGCGGCGCGCCTGCTTTGGCCTTCGCCTCAACGCTGCTGCTCATAGTTTCACCAAGCGTACCCTCCTTTCGCATCATTGTTGTTGTTGCTGTTGCGGTTGCTTTCACATTTAATTTCTCGCTTTGCGTTCGAAATTCGTTTGGCAAATTCAATGTGCGCTCGCTGGTCGTAACTCCGTTGGCTGCCTCTACTAGCAACGCTTGCTCGCCGCTCGCCTCCCACTCAACAGCACAAGCGGGTGTGGGTGCGGGCACTGGCGCGCGTATAGCCGTTTGTCTTTTGATGTTGCAATTACTCTTAAACTTTTCGAAAAAATTGTGCATCCGCACAAACTTCTGCTTCAATTCGATATTTGCGGCTGCTTCCGCTGAATCCGTGGCTTTCGCACTCGCCACCTCCGCAGTTGCATCGCCTTTTTGCTGACCCAATTCAGCTGCACTTGCACTCAGGGCAATTACTTGTTCCTCGCCGTCGCCAGTGCTGCCAATGCGATTATCGCCAACCAGTTGTTGTATTGGCTGCTGTTGCTCCTCTCCCAAATCGCCCATAATACTATTGCGTTCGATATTATAGCCTTCCACTTCCGTAATGTTGCTGCTGTCAGCAGCATCGCTTCGCTCCACAATCCTACACGGGCTAGCCCACTCGGCAATGCTCAGCAAATCGCTGCACTTAATTGGATTCTCATCGAGCAGCAGATCACGCAAACGCGGCAACGTATGCACCATGGCCTGGCTGACGCCCCGCAAGCCGGCCGCGCGTAAATTGAGTGTCAGCAATTTGGGCAACGGCAGCGCTGGCAAATAGAGCAGTTTATTGCCCGAGAGATCGAGTGTTTGCAGATTATTGAGTCCTTGGAATGTTTGCGCTTGCAAATCCATGATTTCATTGTGCTGCAAAAAGAGATGCTCCAGCGAGGTGGGTAGACTGACGGGCACTTTGCGCAGGCGATTGTGGTCGAGGAAGAGCGTTTCGAGTATCTCTAAGCGGCCAAGCGCATCGTCCTCGATATCTTCGATACGACTGTGCGAGAGGTCGAGGTATTGCAGCAACGGATAGCTATCCAAGTCACCGCAATTGATAATCTGAAAAGAGTAGTACAAAGAAAAGCAGAAATTAGTATACATCCGAGAATTAGTGTTGCGGCCAATGTCGAACTAATTGAAATGAATGTGCTGAGAGGGGAAATATAATTTAAGTAAGTGCTTATAAACGCAATATTAGAGTAGGTGCAGTGAGAAACAATATAAACTAAAATTTTAAAAGACAATTTAGAACGTTGATGTGTTTTTTAACGTTGAAAGAACTCACACAATTAATTTTTATTTTAAATACAATAGGAAAATTCTTCCATTAGGTCAAACAACCAGTTATTTCAACATGTTAGTAATAAGAGAATCGAGTGTAGTTGATTTCAACCAAAATTCATTTGGGACTGTTTGTCGCTCAGATTTCGGTGAACGCAAAAGACCAACTGAAGAGTACAGAAGTTCGGAATGCACAAATGCTTTCTGCACACTTGGTTCAGAAAAGACTGCAGGACAGCTGTTGGCCTAGTGACAGGTCATGACTTACTGGTGGGCCGAATGGGCATTAATAACGATAACACATGCAGTAAGAAGGCATAAGCGAAATGCGATGAAGCGTCTTAGTCATCTAGGACCGATAGATCAGAATACAGTCTTTGTATGGCAAATTTTTCGGTTGACTAGATATTTTCATGAAATTTAGCGTGAATTATTGTCCAAGTCAATGGTGCAATCTCCGAAGAAACTGTTCAAATCGGACTACTATATTATATAGTTGTCATACAACTGATCTGTCAAATTCAAGTCTTTTAAAAATTTTCGTAGTTGTGAAAGGTTGGTAGGAGTGGATTAAACTTGAATGACCAGTAAACTCGTGTTTATGCCTTTGTTAGAGAATAGAGAATAAAGAAAGATTCATGAAAGTTAGTAACAAATGCAGATTTTATTAAGATTTTCTCTAGGTATACAAAAAAGAGACCAAGTAGTTAAAACTAAATGAGGCCTTCGTCAAATGAATGAGAAATTGAGTTTCGGCGGCGCCCGAAACAATAAATTCCGTAACGGAAATGCAGATCACACGATCACAAAGCGTGCTCAAAATGTTTGCATACTTTTAGGCGTATTTTCGCATATCTCCAGCGGAACAAACCAATTGAAAAGCAGGGTGATTCAAAAAAAAATAATATTTAAGTGAACACTGCATATGTGTTGTTCTTCGAAGTAAAACAAGTTGTTCCTATAGCATCACTATAGATACAAATCTAGCTCAGTTTTAGCAGATTTCCTACTAATGTGAATAACAAATTTTTAATTTACGCACAGTTTGCCGCCTGCTAAAGCCAACAGGCGAGATAAAGCTAAATTGATGATTTTACACCAATCATATTCACTTCAACTAAGCAGCTCGCATTAAACCACTCCACCAAAAGGCTTACATTTTTAAAACCACCAACTCAACAATAGTGACTGCCACCAAGGCATAAAGTGCGAAAGTTGCCACAACAGCAAAATCTGTTTGCCAGGCGGCTGAAATAACAGTAACGTCGGCTGGCAAGACAAAATAGAGTAAAACCGCGACGAATCTGGGGGCAAGGTGGTGTAAAGGAGAAAATCTTTTCACCCGTTGCCACTTAACTGCCTACCCGTTGTCTAAACAAATGAGCGAAACGAACAAATGAATGCAAGAATGGATGAGGCGGGAAGCAGGAGTGCGGCGCAGGCGGTGATGTTGGCGGTGGCTGGCAAGCATTTATAATTCCGTATAATTGGAATAGGGATAATAACGATAAAGCTAAAGCGTATGCAAACAAGCTAAGCATCGGATGGCAAACATACAAATGCAAGCCAGCAAATAGAAAGAGAGCGAAAGAAATGTATTTGCTCACCCACACATATCGGGTTTTCCAATAGGGATGATATTATTTCTAAGTGTTGTTTCGGCCATTTTTAATATGTCATGATCTGTAATTTTTTTTCATTGTATTCGGTTATGTTTACAATTTCATCATGGAAAGATATACGCAAAAAAAAAAGTTTACAAAGTATTCGATTTTATTATCAAAATAGACGTTCTCCAATTGCCACTTTTCGTGCGCTTTCGCCATATTATGTCCGTAATAATTGTCCACCTGTGCTCGCTATTCGTCGAATTGTTGTGAATATCGAGCGTACATTTTTTTTATATTGTTTTAAAGTGCCAATAAGATAAAGAACTGCTCGAAGTAATGAAAATATTTCTGCCGTTCAGGCAAGTGTTGCTGAAGACCGCAATTTGTCGATTCCGAAACGTTCTCAAGAATTGAGACTATCCCTAACCCCAACCTGGCGGATTTTGAGAAAGGATTTGGTCGTGCATCCATATAAAAATATTCTCACTCAAGAACTAAAGTTATTAGATCACCGAAACGTCGTAAATTTGCTGATTTGGCCTTGGAACAACTTGAAAACGATAACGATTTTTTAAAGAAAATCATGTTTCCCGATGAGACTCACTTTCATCTGAGTGGTGTGATAAATAAACAAAACTGTCGATTCTGGCACGAAGAAAATCCAGAAATTATTCATGAACAACAGTTTGGTGTGATTTTTGGTTTGGTGGAATCATCGGTCCGCACTTCTTTCGAAATGCAGCTGGTGACACCGTTACTGTCAATGGGAGCGATAATGAAATCCAACAATTGGAAGAAGTTGATCTTGACAACATCTTATTTCAATAAGACGGAGCTACATACCATACAGCACGTGCAACGAAGGAATTATTGCGAGAAATGTTTCAAGAATGAATTGTACTTTACACTAAATAAAATACATTTGAATTTCCTTAACAATTAGTGTGTTTTTTTTTTTTTTAAATAATATCACTCTTATTGGAAAACCCTGTACATAGTGACGTGTATTCACACATTGAAAAGAGTAAAGTAAACAAGAAGCAGCGTAATGAAAACAAAAACAACGCAATCAAGGATAATCGTCAAAACCCTAACAATAATAACAATGAAAATCTGCTGCCGGCGGTGCTCTGCTGACTGCGGCGGCGGCGCCGTCGCCCAGCAAAAAGTAGTGTTATAAAAACATAAGCCTGCTTTTAGGCATTGTGTGTAGGAGCTGCTCATAAAGAGGACTACTTGCCAGCGCCGGATATGTATGGGAAGTAGACAGACAGCAATGGTTTGAGCTTGTTGCCTTTGGTGTTGTTTTCCCTTCACTTATTTCTGTGGTATTAGTCTGATGTGGCGAGATTTTTGTTCTATCTTCTGATTATTAGTATTGACTGTTAACGTACCTATGTATGTAAACGTACCTATATACATTTGTATGTATCTTATATGAAGCATTAGGGTGAGTTTCTTTTTATCTACATATTGTAAGTTTAAAGTTTTTTGGAATTTTCGGAACTGAATATTAAAAACGGTTCGGAATCTTTTAGAGCATTACTAAAAATGTTTCAATGTTGAAAATTTGATAAGAAATATATTGATTATTTCGTGAGAGCCTAAAATCCCCCCTAAAATTCAATGAAATACAAAATCCCCCATACAAGAAAGTCCCTAAACTAAAAATCCCCATATTTACATACCCAAAAGGGAGTGCTAAGCTAAACAACTGATGATACGCGGTGTTGGAGCTGTCAGGGATATTTTAGTTTTGTTGGATTTTTGTTTTTTTGGATACTGCTTGGGGGATTTGTATTGATTGTATCGGCACTTTGAAGCCTAACCCGATTATTTTTGTGTTTTCACAATGTTGATATTTTTGAATAACTTGACCTTTTCATGAATCAAAAATTATAATTATTTGTATATTTGTTTACTGATTTGTACATTTTGCACTTTAACTTGGTGGACCATAATTTACAAACACGTTTTCTGGAAATTTTCGGCACCTGAATTATCGGACGTAAAATTTTTACCAAAACTAGGTATTTAATTAAATGAGAAGAGTTCCTCTTATCTTACAAGAACAAAAATAAGACCATAAATATCGGAATTCAAATACTATGGACTTTAGCTTCACATAGTGAGTTATCTGACAAAGCTTAACGATACAAGTTTCCTAAGGTCATTGGTATAATGACAATTTTAATCAAAACAACTAAGTCGGTTCTAGGTCAAGCTCTAAAAAAAGTTGTATATGAAATAAATTAAAAACCGATACATTTTCTTTTAAGTGCCGATATAGCTGTGCATTTAATAAGCTTTTCTAGAAAAAATTACAAATTAAATCTATGCATAAAAATTTGTTTAATAAGTTCATTGAAGAAAAATTTCATAGATCAATCTTCTTAAAAAAATTTATTTCCAGAAAACTATCCCGCCCTAATGCGAGTCTACAAAGCACATATAATTATTTCCACCGCCATATAAGCAATGATATGATTAGTTCTCTATTGGAAACAAGGCAAATGGGTGTCTTTCATTCCTAATCACCTCAACGCATTTGCGATAGGTCAAAACCAAATAAAAAAAAAACAATTTAAAGGCGGGTTTATTAATTTATTTTTTTTCTTAATAGGCCAAAAAAGCAAGGCTTTAAGAGTTAGCAAAATTAAAAATCATTGGCCAGGTCTTATGGAGATTAATCTTGAATTGAATCTATAAATATATCTTTTATTTGCAAATTTCTTTAAGCTTTAATTTTTTTCACTTGTTCCTGCGGCCTTTGCCTTGATGCTATACTCTTGTCTCACAATATAACTCATTTCCGCCAGTAAATTTTTTGTTATTGTTCCTTTGTTACTCATTTAATGAGCCTCAACTTGACTTAACGCAAATCGTCTGATTCTCTGCCCTTTCGTGTCTTGTCTCTCTGTGCCTTACTTCTGTTGACTTTGAGCAAACAGACCCAACCATCAACGGTGCCTTTTCTGCGTCCGAGTGACAAACGAATTCCTCACTGTTTTGCTCTCATCAGACCCGCTTCCCCACCATTACACACATACAGATATTTATATTTGAGCATAAAAAGTTGAGCGCACAAAAGTAATGAGCAGCATAATGTTTTGTTTAGCTTGTAATCCGTAAAATATATACAAGCAATTATTTCACATTTAACTCGATAGCCATTAAATATTAAATAATGATGCTTCAGCGCATTTCACTTTTGTCTGGGGCTTAGTGCGCTCGAGCATAAGAAAGAAATCGTGGCTATTTTAGAGTGATTGAAGCGCGATAATTGCTGAGAATTTTTTATGTAAGCGAACATAACAGTAAATCGAAAGTGGCCGCCGCAGGGTTGAATTGCAAATTTTGAAACTACGTGACGCCACGTTGTATAGAGGGGGGCGAAAGGCCTATAAAATAAAATTAAAAAGCTTGAGTGCAAAAATCGCTTTATAGTTTATGCTATAAATGATGGAAAATTGCTTCAAGATGATGTTTACCAAGGTTTTTATAAATGTAGGATGAGTAAATAAAATTTCGATACACAATTGATCGTGTGATATTTGATAAGTGGTCTTTAGAGCGACTTGAGAGACATTTCTCTAAATGCTAAACTCGAGCATTGTGTGTAGAGTTTATTGCAAAATCAAAATGCTTATAGTGTAGAAAGTATGCCATTTATTTATGAATAACTGCCAAGAATTCTTATTCGAGTAACTCCGATTTTCATATATATTTGTATAGTGTACGTTCAGAATCGGACCGAATATGTCAAGCCCCCTACCAAATTCCGTTTTATTTTACACTAGCATATACCAGATGTACCGGTATGAAGTGAGCGTTAAGATATAAATGTGTTCGTAGAGAACATTTGTTGTGAACGAGGCTTAACTTCTTTTTCTGTTTAGTTGGCCTTACAGTCATTGAACAAACAACATCATATTTTTTCATTGTGTCGAAAATGTCAAATTTTGTACGGAAAGTGATGATTTGCGGAAAGCATTAAGTTTTTGTTTCCATTTGAAGAAAAGTGCTGCATAGTCGCGTCGAATGCTTGTCGAGGCATATGGTGATAAGACTCTATCAGAAGCAACATCCAAAAGATGGTTTCAACGATTCAGAGCTAATGATTTTGATGTGAGAAATGAAGAACGTAGAAGACCAACAAAAAGGTTTGAAGACGCCAAACTGCAAAAAATATTGGATAAAGATGATAATTTGAGTCTAAATGAAATGGTAGGCATGCTAAATGTTGCACAACAAACAACTTTAGACCATTGGAAAGCTATGTTATGGAAAATATCCAAAAGTGTGGAAAATAGCTGCCACATGAATTGAATAAAAGACAAATGGAAAACCGAAAAAAACGTGTGTTAAATTTTTCTAAAAACTGGAAGAAATTAACCCTCAACTGGTTCGAATATAGATCGGTCGGAGACCTTTAAGACTAGAACTACGAAGATTTACCTTACCTATTTCAAAAAGGGCTCTCTCTCTGAAAATTGAAGCGTAAGAACAAAATAATCTATAATATTATTCTATACACATCACATAATCTATAATATTATTCTATACGGTTCGTAGTTCTACTGTTAAAATGGTTTAGAGTTGCCTGTCAACATACCCAAACAAATCTGTTTATAAACTCAGTTTACGATAAAAACAGATTTTCAACTTACTTACTTACTTACTTGTAACGGGAGCTACCAGAAACTGAGTCTTCGATTCAGTTTTTCCTTGGGATTGATCCCTGCAAAAGTTTGCATCAAATACTTATTTGTTATGAAATTTGTAAGTGTATAAAAGTTGCAATTTCCGAATTCCTTTTTGGCTTATATTCGCATTTACGAATTTTTTCTAAGCACCGGCATTACAACGAGCTGCAAATATGTAAATATGTACGTGTTTCAAGTGTAAAAAATGTTCTGCTTTCCAGCAAATGTGTTACGCCTTATTAAGTTATCGATATAAGCATATACGTTTGTAGGTATATCACACACATACATGCGCATCAATTCATGCGTGAAATATGCGTAGTTAATACGTGTATATGTGTGTTTGACTTATACAGAACTTTGCAACTTCGTTGCTTCCCACCCACTTGTGTGCGTTCTACTTCATCATTTTCATGCGCTGATTTCATATTTGTGAACATTTTCACTGTTATCCTCGATTGAATTTTTTTTCACCCACTTTGCTCTCTGTTAGTGTATGTGTGCGGCTGCGTTTGTGTGTTAACATGCTGTTAATTGCTGTAAAAGCGCCGAAATTGTGTGCGCTCCAATAGCCACAAACACACACACACACCCAAATATATATATGCACACAAAAAAAAAAAACAGAAATTCAAACCGACTCGTGAAACTTTTTATCAGAACCATAAAGACGCTTCTGATGGATGCGCGCATTTCCAGTCATTTATACATTCATTTATCGATTTTTGTGTGCGTAATCCCACGCGTTTTGTTTTTTTTTTTTGCTTTGCCACACAGTAGAAATATGTGAGAAAATAATTTGAAGTAAAAAAAAAAACAGTTTTTTAACAAAACTATTTTCGCGCTGATTGTGTGACGAAAAAAATTTTACCAGTAAAAATGTGAGAAAAAGCGAATTTGACATTCGAATGCCACTCATAGTTGCCGTTTGAATTTCAGCTGTGCCGCCAAATACGCTGCCACGAACAGACGCGCCGCATCATTGAGAAGTTTTTTTCTGCAAGCGCGCGTTAGTGTGCGTGCCTGGCTGTGCCACGGTGTGGTGTAACGAGCAATACAACTCGACTTTAAAGTGTTTTTTTTGTTTGTTCCTTTTGACGTTTGATTATCGCATGCAAGAAATATGCCGCAGCAATCAATTGGTCGTGGATGTGATAATCGAAGCGTAATGTCGTGGAGGAGTGTTATGCTTTTTATGTTTGTATGGCCAAAGAAAAAAACCATAAATGCCATTTAAATTGGAAATCATTTTCGATATGAATTTTCAATACCAATAAAAATGTGAATTAAAGAGATGGCCTATATTATTAATTTTTTTTTTTCATATGCTTTAAGTTTAATTTGTTGGTGTTACAAATATACAGTGGTGATCAGGTGATAGACTCTGTTTTTTTTTTATAGCAATTGCTACTGCGGTCTTAAGTATTAGTTTGATTTATGCAAAATTTCATTGCCAATGAACCTTATATGCTAAGAAACTGTTAGAAAAGATATGTTCTACAAAGCGGTAACGGAATCTAGCTGCCAGCTTTAAACACATGAATACCTGGATGAATCCACAATCATTGTTTCTAAGTTATTATGGGAGCGTATAACTAAGATTAACGCACAGCTTTGGTCTTAAGTGCAGTTTTCGACAGGTAAAGACAGAGAAGATTTTTTACTTACAAATTAGAAAAGCCTAGAGTGAAAGTACAAGCATGTTGATACCGATAGATCAGAGCAATACAGGGTCTTTGCTAGCTTTCTAATATAGTAGAGATCCGAGCGATACAGCGTTCTTTGCTAGCTTTCTAATATAGTAGAGATCCCAAAATACAACGACCACGTTCAATATTATAGCCAGAAATTGTGGACATCATAGAATGGCACCAACTACACTTTCTCCTTAAATGAAGAGATACCTTGTCGATAACCAAGCAACGATTTAACCAATGCTTATTCAAGTGAAGTTAGATGTAATACTGAAGGCCAATGGGCTCATGATTTTATCACATTGGAGCCAGACTCGGCGTCACTACGGGCTAGGTATTATCCTTGACCTTGTTAACGAACTCGGACTAAATTGGCAATTAGACCGAGAAAAGGAGATCCATGAAAAATTAAACACACGCTTTCATTCCACAGTTAAAAATAATAAACAATGGATTCAGTGATCGACAGTTCCAACGGCGAAATCTAAATATTTACCGATGAATCAAAGAGTGTAATAGGGACGGGAGCGGCCTTCTTCTGTAGTAATCCATTCAGTCAATTCAAACTTAATGACTACAATTTAGTCTTTCAGGCCGAAATTTTTGGTATAACAGAAAGTGCCAAGCGGGCTTCTGCTCTAACCAGCATGTCCATAAACCTTTATTGGACAGCCGAACAGCCAATTAAGGCTAACCGTAGCGCCAGCACTAATTCTCACTGCGTCAAGTTATGCAAGCAGGCAATAACTAGACTCTCAGTAGGTAACTGGGTTAATGACATCTGAGTACCCAAACATATAGGAATAGAAGGAAACGAAGAGGCAAATGATTTGGCCCAACTTCCCTAAGTTGCCCCGGACTATTCAACTCTTTCAAGTGTTGTTTGAAGCAATGGACCTTAGAGGAACGGCTCATGTCTTGGTACACTAGCAACACAGGGCATACCACAGAGTTAATTTGGGGTAGTGCTGATGGTGGACAGACCAAAACACTTCAACTTCATCACAAGGCACCTGCCGTTAAAATCCCATCTTCGGAAAATTGGATAAGTGGATTCGGCGGAAACAGGAGTACGCGTGGGAAATGATGACATGCTGAAACATTACCTGAGTTGCTAGATTAGCCTTTATTTGGTTACCACCCAGGAGCAGAATGAGGCTAAGTGCAGCCGACTCTGGTTTGGGACCACTGCGCTTCCCTTTTCAACCAAACAACGATAAGATCGATCAACTCTGCTAGAAGTAACTTCAAAGATGTCAGATGGAAAGGTGAAATGTAGAGAGTTTCGGTGGAATGGTGAATATCATTTGGGGCTCCAACGATGCAGTTATAGAATAAATATAGAATAAAAATAATTCGATATGTTATACTATGAACTGAAAGTTGTCAAATTGAGTCCCAACCAGAATCGCGTATAATTATGTTTATGAGATTTTCTTTGAATCTTGACTTCCAAAATGCAAAATTAGGTCTACTATCCCTCATGTGACGATTCTCAGTTTTGATTATTAAAATAGATATTCGAGATATTTTGAATTCTAGAAAATTAAATGTACTTACCTTCAGCCAGTTGTCGGTTAGCTTAAGCATTCTCACCGACTGCGCCAAAGCCGCCGGTATCTGACACAAGCCGGTACCGCTCGCATCCAGTTCCTTCAAGCTCCACGATGCGACAAACTCCTGCATAGCTGCGCCCACCTCGGGATTGTATGCAATCGATAAACGCACCAAATCTGGTATGCCTTGGAGTGCACGTATAGCTTCGCCATGTAACTGATTGTGCGATAAATCTAAAAACTGCAGATTCGGCAATGCCAGAAAGGTCTCATAGTCAATATCACTAATGTTGTTGTGACTCAGGAGCAGCGTATTCAAGCTGAGCAAATTGTAGAAGGTCTCACGGTAAATGCTGCCAATGCGGTTGTAAGCCAAATTGAGGTGCTTCAGAAAGTGCATACGTTGTGGGAAGAACGCAGTCTCGAGCTCGGCGATTTCATTGCACGAAAGATCAAGTGTTTCCAGTGCGCTCAGCATGGAGAGATTAAGGTGCGTTAATTGAGTGATTTGATTGCCGCTCATGTGTAATTCGCGTAAGCTTGCGCTACTCACTGCTGTTGCTTGTACAATTTGATTGTCATTCAGATTGAGTACCACGATGGTGCTTGACGATGCGTCACGTTGATTGAGTGGTATAGTGGTGAGTGAGTTGTTGGCGAGTTCCGCTTGCTGTAGCAGTGTAAACGCGCTCAAGTTCACATCTTGCAGCAGATTATTACTCAAATCAAGCGAATAGATGGCGTTATGATTGCCATAATAATCACGTGCTGCATCGTAGTGGCGTAGTTCTGCATTTGTGAGTCTAAGCGTGTGTTGTGCCGCTGGTTGCTGTGTCATACTCTGTGGTTGTGGCGCGTCATTCTTTACTGGCGTTGTCGCTACCGCTCGTCGTACCACCTCGTGCGGCGGCTGGTATGCACGCTTCTTATAATAGCGATACGCCGCATCCGCGCGTCTATAGATCGGTTCATTTTCGTCACGTAATATCCGATGTATAGTCTCATAAGAGAGTCGTTTCAACTCACTGCGATATAGATTGAAATGTTCATTAGAGTCGTCGGTCCCTACTTGGCTGATTTGAGGTACGAGTGCTTCGACTTGCGCTGATTTTGGCGCTTGCATCAGCAGCTCATCGTCTTGCATGAGTTCAGTGTCCATCTTTGCCGCTGCATTGCCAATATTGGCGGCGATTAATGTGATTCCTAATAGTGCTGGCAACATATTCGCTATGCTTCTGAGCATCGGAAGACTAGCTCGCCAATTGGCGGTGTTTTTTCTACGCGTTCTACAATTCGGCACCATTTTGTGTGTCTCGAATAAGCAGTTTGCAGTTTTATGTGTTGCTTTGAGATTTGTTAGGGTATTGTTTATTGCGTGCTGTTTTTTGATGCAATTTATTTTGTTAAGAGTTTTTAAATTTTTTCTATACTTAGGACTTTTTTTTACTTGTAGTGTTAATATTTTTACTTATGTCATGCCTAAAGTTGTGCTAAATTTTTGTTGGGTGCTTTATTCACTCATGAAATTTGTTTCAGCTCTTAAATGTATGCCGCACTGTAATTTGTCTAGCTTTGAGCTTCACTATAAAGTAAATTATTCATATTTATTTTAATCGGTTGTGCTTCACTTTTAAATTTTTTATTTTTTTAATTTTCTTGCTTCTAATTCGTATCTTTAACGCCTAAAAATATGTTTTCATTTACACCAATTCGCCTTGCCCTGTCATGTAGCTTATGCGGGCGCCTAAAATTATGCAAACAATCTTCACCAAGTTATTGACACAATCATTAAAATACACAAATAACTTTTTTCTCAGGCATTTACTTTTGGCACATTTTATTGTAGATTCTTTTCTATTTTTTTATTCACCCGTTTTTTGTTAGAAGCTATTTTTTTTTGTTGGGCAGGTATGCAGGAAATTCCGGCTCGTAGCTTGTTGTGAAATACTCGTCTTGTCCGTTGTAAATTTGTGTCACGTTCCACTGTTCCACATCCAAAGCCCGGAATAAATAAATTTGTGCTTCCAAATTATAAATAATTTTGTTGTTGTAGTTGGTGATATTTAACGTCACTATTTATTTGCCAAAATTCCAGCTGACAGGCATTTGCTCATCAAGTTGTGTACATATGTATTTAAGCTCGCTTTTGTGCGCTGCTTCATACTCTTCTGTGAAGGCTAAGCTTTGTTGTTGTTGTTTGATTTTCTATTTGTTTTTTTTTGTGTTTTGTTTTGCCGCCTTCACATTCAGTTATTCAGCGCGCCAGTTGCGCAGCCAGCAATTGAATTAGGTCGCCTAGGGAAGTTGACTTCGCACCAGTTGACGTCTACTCTTAGGCGCGCACTCACGTCCACTTTGACTGTCGTCTATTTAAATTTCATTTCCTAGCGCCGTTTTCATGCTTGTTATGCGGCAGCTGTGCGCTTTCTTGCTACCCGCACTCCCTACTTATTATACCTTTTTCAGCTGTTTCTTCGAATTCTACTACTGCTACTCCTTCTCCTTCTTCGTTTCCTCTTTTTATTTCTTCAATCTCTTCCACACCTATTTCTGTTTTGTTGTTAATTTGCTTGTGTCAAACGCTCGTAAAATGCGAAAATAGACGCGCGGCAAGAAGCAAAAACTTGTATGCGCGCCTAAATGTATGTCAGGCAATGTATCAGTGGCAGCGTGCGCTTTGTGCTTGTTGACGCTTGATTACATTTTAAAAATGTCAAGTGCCTGTTACTGGTTTTTAATGTCGCTTGTTATCTGGTAGTCTTTTCTTCGGTCGCTGTTGTTGTTGTGGTTACATGCGCTTGTTTTGGCATCTAGCAGCATCATTACGACGTGTCACTGTGTATTGTTATTTGGTTTTGTTGTTGTTGCAGAAATACCATCACATTGCTATTTTATGTTTGAGTTTTGCTGTTGTTGTTGTGGTTGTTAATTTTTTGCTGCTGCTTTCTCCTCGTCCCTGGTGATCTGCTGCAGCCGTTGTATCTGCAATGAAATGTAAAATAAATTGTTGTAATTAGTAGCGTCAGTCGTGAAAACTTCTTCGGGCGCACACCTGGCGTGGAGTTGTTGAAATTAAAAGTTAAATTAAAATTACCGTTGTTTTTTTTGCTGTACTTTACTTTATTTAACCCTCACTTTTTCAGCTGTTATTTCGCAAATTTAAAACTTTCAGTTGTTTTTGTTGTTTGAGAGTTGTTAGCGTGTGCTTTACCCAATTTAGCGCTCGCTTACTTATCGTTCTCTTTTTCTGTGTATGAATGGGTGGATTATATAGTATATAGTTATAGCGCAGTGCTAGGAATACAAAAATTCAACAGCAATTAAGTTTTTTCAAATAAATTCACTGCTGAATCCAATATTAGTTCCATTTGTAAAGAAATTTCGTTCACCTATATAATTCTTAGTCCGTAGACTCTACTGATGTATCTGCGCAATTTTATATAAAAAAGTCAACCCCTCAGTTCGGTAGGTATATTGCACAATAACTCTCCGTAATCGAATTTCGAGACCTGTCCCTTGCACCCTGAACAAATTTATATAAAATATATTGGGCTAACCGCTTTTTGTGAGCTTTTATGACTTAACACTACGAACAACTTAAAGGAAAATACGCTTGTTGTGTACACTCTTTTCTTTTTATTTAGTTAACCATTTAGGTTCACTAATCATTTCAACCGAAACAAATTTAAATTTATCCAATCCAATCCAAGGGGAATCCGGAAAAGGGTCGTTGAAACTCGTACTCGGAAAAAAGAAGTTGACGTGGCTTAGATTCGAATGTTTAAGCTTGATGTGGCGCTCAGGCCCGTAGACGAAAACGAATGTTTTTGCGAAAAAGTCTAGGATCGCTGTATTAGCGGTCTCATAAGCGAATGATGTTTAGCGATGATCCCGTCCTTTTTGTTAGGTGTCTTCGTGCATGTTGTACTCAGAGGTTGAGTGTGGTGGTGTCATCATGTGTAGTGTTCTCAAATGTTGAGTCCGGTGTGGTGTGTCTCATTAGGGTGTGCCAGTTTTACACAAGTAGAGTGGTGTGTATATGTAGGGGTGGCTTATCTCAGTTGAACACACCCTATATGAGTGAGTATGCTTAAACCATAATTAGTTCAAACTTGACTATAGTTGTGTCAAAACGTAGTTCGACCTTGTGATATTAGTCTAAAAGACCACACCCAAAATAATTTGTTCTCTTAATGGGTTTCGACATATTTCAATGGGGCTTAGCATATCATTAGATCCACATGAGTTAGAGTGAGTTTATGGCCCATTACCATCAAAAATATGTAAACAAAAGATAAAAGAGAGACCAATCGTTGCATTTGCTTATCGGGGTCTCAGTAGAAAGACAGTTTCAATACAAGCAATAATTACTATTTACTAAAGTGAATATACCTTTTGGCTTTTCGCATTCATACTTCCTTTTTGTGTATTAAACTCGGTGCCACTGTGGAAGAGAGTCAAGTCAACCGAATGTTTGGAAATCCTGATAATAGTTATATGGCGGCTAGGGCCAGTTTTCACCCGATTTTATTTATTTTGGACACGAAGATGCAACGTTATAAAAAAAATTCATTTAGTTTAATAAGATAACTCGCATATTTGCCGAGTATAAAGTCAACTGGAAGTTCGAAATTCATTAAATTTGGTATATGGGAATACTTCTCGTATTGATCCGATTCAATTCATTTTTAAGAGACTTCGTCATCTTATTGTCAGGAAATTATTTCTGCCGAATTTGAATAATATATCTCGAAGATTGACCGAGATGTGCGATAAAAGATATTTGGTGTCTGGGTTGTTCAAAATTTATAGCCCGATTTCGACAATACTTGGTGTAAAATTTAATGTCTAATATTAATGATTTATCGCACTGTTAGTAGTTTTTAACAAAACAATAATATTGGGAGTGGGCGGGGTTATAATCCGGGGATATGTACATTGAACCCGAGAGCACGCTCACTTTTTCAAAATGTCACAAACGGCATATGTGCTCCGTTGTGCGATTCGTTGTACTCAATAACAACCTCATATCATATTGTGAAGTTCAGCTATGACACTTTACAGGTTTCGATTAATGGCGTTCTGTAGGCGTGGCAGCGGTCCGATTACGTCCATCTGCAATACCAACCATCTTACGGTCTAAGAAACATGTGTATCAAGTGTCGTCTAGATATCTACTTGTAAATTTTTACTGTACTTACAACTTGCATAGACGGACAGACAGACAGTCACCGGGAATTCAGTTCGCCTCGTCATTGTGATCATTTCATATTTCATATCTATCGTCATATATCTATCTGGATTAGTTTTAGATGTTATTAACAATCGTGTGAAGCAGATGAACTAGCCAGAACAGGTATCATCCTACAATTAGACTCCGGAAAGGAGGGTATTTTTATGTCTCTGGCTACTTGCAGATATTTAATCGACAAATATGTTATAAAGATAGCTTTGTATCGGTGGAATCAATCCCTGACTTGCTCAACAAGCATGCAAATGTGGCATGAATGGAATAGGCAGACATGCCAGTAGACTATGAACGCCATATAACGACTGTTGTAGAACCCGTCAGAAGGTAGAAAAGGAGGAGACTATTAAACATTTTCTATGCGATTGTGAGGCTCTATGTATATAGGAAATTGCAAATATCGGTCGAGGGTTTCTTGGCGACGTCTGTGAGGTTGCACAGATAAAACTTTTTGTACTTATGAACTTTATCAGAAGCATGGGCTGGTTCAAAGAGGAGCCAGTATCATCAAACATAATTAAAAACATTATTAATTTATCCTAAAAGTGCGCTAATAATAATTTCACAACATTGGTTTATGCGCTTATCGCCTCTGAGCACCGCTAAAACATATTATTTATACCGTCCCATTTGTGCCTACCGTGGTGAGTGCCATACAAATTATAAATAAATGCAAATTTCCAATTAATCGCCCCAAATTAAATCTGCCCAACCGTTCGAAAATGCACAAAATTATCTTAATTGAGTGTAGACGCCTTAAAGTAGAGTAAGCAATGTACCAAGAATCCTTCTAGCAACGGCGGACGTAGCGCTACCACTTTCAATTATGCGCAATACATAATTTATCTAAATCTTTTCATCATGCTGTTTGCCAAGAATTGAAAGCAGAAAGGGCCAAATGCGCTGGCAGGATATGCCAAGAAGCAGAGCAGAGCAGAGCAGCGGATGTCAAAGCAGCTATAACAAATGAGATAAAAGCAGTCCGGCTGGTGTTGGCACACTTTCGGGTCACTTTTATGAGTCATACAAAATTTGATGGTACCCTTTTTTGGCAGGCCAAAGAATATAGAATGAGAGAATAAGAGTTTATAATGGTGAAAAAGTGAAATATATCCAGTTCATGCGCTCTTTGTCGGCGTTTGTGTGTGTTGTGGCAAGCTAATTCAACTCACTTCGATATGCTCGCTTTTTTAATTTAAATTATTTTGTTTTTATGGATTTTTCACTTTACTTTATGTCGAGATTTTTACATATATTATTTACATATATATACATATTTACATATATATTAAAATAACCTCTTTTTTCGCTCTTCTATTACAGGTATGTACTTGTATTTGTTATACTGTTATACGGAAGACTCATTTACATATGTCCACGGCTATAAAAAATGCATGAATCTCGTAAATAAATAATAAAAATGGCATCAAAAGCGAAAAAGGTTGCCACAGCGAAAATGAAATGGATCGTCGTACATAGCTGAGGCGCTGTCGACGGGACGGCAGCGGCTTTAAAGTGGTCGTGGGGTAAGTGAAACTGCTTTGATATGCAGAAAAAAGTTGCAGCATATATTACATATGAAAGGATATACATATATGTACTTATGTGTATGTATATGCGTATTACTCGGACATTTTTAATTTTTTTATACCCTGAACAGGGTTTGCCACGAAACTTGTAACACACAAAAAAAAAAACATCGGAGACTCTATAGAGTATATATATAATATATGTCAAATATTTGCGTAGCGAACTGAGTAGATTTAGACGTGCCTGTCTGTCTGTCCTTCTATATATACGCGAACTACTCCCTACATTTTTGAGATATCGATATGAAATTTTTCCAACATCCTTTTGTACTCAAGATGCCGCTGTGTTTTGTATGAAAAGCTCTTTTATTTGAAACTATATCTTTATGAAATTTGCTATAAATTATTGGTTAAGACATTGCTACAATCTCCGAACGAATTGTTCAGATCGAACAACTATAGCATATAGTGTCGTACAAATTAAGCGATCAAAATCAAGTTCTTGTATGGAAGACTTTGTTATGTGACAAGATATTTTTACGAAATTTGGTATAGATTTTTACCCAATGCAACGGTACAATCTACGAAGACATTTTTCAGATCGGATCACTATAGCATATAGCTGCCGTACAAGCCGACCGATAAAAATTGAAAAAAATATACTTTTTTTACACCCTTTTATGCTATACAAAATGCAGCTGTGCAGGGTATTGGAGCTCCAAGCGCGCTGAAGTTAAAGTTTTTTAAATTTTTTTACATATATTTTACCGTTAGTATTTTATATATTTACATATGTAGGTCGCTTCATGGGTTGTGCGATAAGCAAAAAGCACGTGTGGCCTCACTTCATTTCAGATGGCAGATATTGTTCACACACACGCACACGAACACAGATACACACATATACTTAGACGCACACTGGCTTGATCTCTATAGCTTTATATACGCTTGCCATTTGCCTTTGCAGCATCGCAAATTTTGCACAAAATGACAATAAATTCCGGCCATTATTCAGCGCTCACACACACACACATTGGTATAGTGAAAGGCAATGTGACATAGAAGTGAACAGTCAAGCGAGAGAAATCAAAGCACACACGCACACAAGCAAACAAGCCAGCAAGTCAATGTAATCACTAGTCAAAGGCGGCGCCAACAAGAACAGAACACTGCTTGACATACTTGTCTTTGCCGCAAAAGGTGG